GGGATTGAGTATAGCCATGCAACTGTAACTGCATACCCAGCGCAACGACTATACCCCACTCAAGTTCGGTGTGAAAATACAAGAAGATGCCAACGAGATCGCTGAAGACGCCATGCAGTCATTCGGAGACATTACGCCAAACGGAGGAGAACCTGAGAAGGTGAGTAAGTGTTGTTCGAGCAAACCTTACACCAACCAAGCCAAACAACGGTCTACTAATATACCGGCTGGCAGGTGCTAGCCCTATATTGCTCGGCGGCTCTGCAAATGCAAGTTATACGTTGTGGGACAGCTCCAAAAGTAACTATAAACGCGATTCACTTTTGGAATTTATTATCTTAACTAGTAAGCCCGGGCAGACGTTGTCCTGCTAGACACCGATACATAGGCAGGTTACATGCATCGTAGATATTATGCGTCTTCACATCGAAGCTTGGTACTCGGTAAGTCGGTGGTCGGTAATTTTTTCCCATGAATTTTGTTTGTGTAACACTATTTTACAAAAAAAAAATCCAAAAAGGAACTCGAAAGTACTCAGAACTTAAAAAAACCCCGAAAGTATAGACTTAAAAAGTACAGAGTTTTATTTACATTTACCGGTATTCAGAAATGATTGTACTCAATTTGCAGTTTCAGTAATTTTCAAGTACAATACCTGTACCCAGTACAGTTAGGCATACATTTGACGTAGTTTGGGATTCATATATTAATTTGAATAAAATACTGGCATGATACTGATTTCTAAACTAAGAATTGAAATGTTACCAACATATGTATATTTAAAGAAAGTACTCAGTACTCTGGAAAATACCCGATCCTTAAAAGTATCGGTACCAAAGAACTCGATCCTCAAAAGTACTCGATACTTCCCAACACTAAAATGAAGCATAGCCGCGAATAACATCGGAAAACTCTCGCTTCGGATATGGGCAGTTTGTAGTTAGCGTAAACGAACATAGCGACACGGGATTTTTAAGAACGTTGCGAAAAGCATAGAACAAATTTCGATGAAAAAAAAAAATATTTTTTCTCGGGTTCAAAACTATCCTATCTTTTAAGCTGGAACCAACAATACATACCCTCAAAATTTCATTAAAATCGGTTAACTGGTGGGTGTGTATTGTTGGTTCCAACCAGAGTGTCCAGATTTGGCGATTTAGCGCCAATTTGGCGATTTTTTTTTGGATATTTGCGCGTAAAAATTTAGGAAATCGCCATTGGCGATTTTTGACGATGTTTTCCCTATCATGTAAATGCGTCGAAACACGTGAAAAGTAGGTTGTGGAGTTAGAGCTTTAGTTTTAATGTGGTAACACTTTCATTGTTATCGATTTTATTCGATTTGAATGGTTGCTTCGAATGGTTGCTGCTTTTTTGGAAAGGTGTTTAGAAGGAGCCGAGCTCAGCTAACTAATAAAACAAAACTAATTACAAGCTGTTCATTACAGGTGAA